TTTTAAAGTGGGGAAATTTACATAGGACTATAATCTGTCTATGATTTCAAATGAATGACTATTTTATTTTGAAAACTTTTGTTTATAAAAAGCCTACCATATAGCATCCATTTCCTTTTTGCTCTAGCTATAGTTGATGAAATTCAAGGATGAAGGGTCTTCTTGCCTTGTCAGACACTGGCCCAGCCTTTGCTATGTTTTATCTACCACTGTGAGCTGGGAACACTTACATTCTCACCTGCTCTTTACCATATCCTGGCGAGTATATCGTGACCCATCTCAACTACTCATGACCCTGGCTCTTTCCTGGATATAATAATAGGAATGAGGGTTAATAGCTAGAAAAAAGGAGTGTTTGAAAAATATAATTAAAATTGTATGAGAAGGCTGCAGGGTATTTTCACAGGCATCTGAACAATTATTAAAGGAATACTGACAGGTGAAGAAACCCTGTCAAGATGGAAGTGAAGGCGTGTAGGGAAGGGCCAGATGGAGTGAGCATATAGAGGAAAGTGCCCTAGGAGAATTGATCTCACCTAAAGTAGTCACATCTCAGGAAAGGTGTCTCTAACTCTTCTGAAACTGTCTCTCAACTTGGCATCTTTGAGCCATTGCTGCTCTGGGAGTTGGAACATTTTTCTCTTCGAGGAGTTACTCCTACGTTGCTCTACCTTTCCTGTTCTCAGCTTGCTGTTCTGCACTCCTGTGCTGAGGGTCTGCTGTCTACTTATTAAGTAGCTGCCAGCTTGCTTCCTGGACTACAGCCAAGAGAACTATGGTGAACCCATGGCCATCAACCAGGCAGCCATGAGCCCAGCATCTGAGACCTCTTGCAGTCCTCCTGCCAATTGCCCTCTGTTCTGAACCTGCCAAGAAATTTACTTTATTCCCATTGCTCCCTGTGTTCCAGTTCAGACCATCCACCAACATAAACCAGATGTCCAACATTCCAGCTACCAGCTGCCCATGTCTCCCAGCCATGTCTGAATTTTGTGTCTGCTAATGGCTTCCTTTTGATTTATACCAACCACTGATGAGATAAACAACAGTAGCCAACAACTAACCTTATCACCCAGTAGGTCTAGATCTCTGACCTAAGCACTGGTGGTTTCTAAAGCTTGTCTTCTTATCTAAAGGACCAGCATTTCTTTTGGTTAATTACCTGGCAGTAATTTTGGTTAAGCACTAACTTTTTTTATTAAAAATATGATCTCATATATCACAGCTTATAAAAATGTGCTAAGTAAACTCTTTTGTACTAGTTATTTCAAGATTCTCCAGGACAGTTCAGTCTCTCGCTCAGGTTTTGCTTGTGTGTCTTACAACATGCAAAAAAATGGTCTGCTTTAACTCCTAATAAATGTGCTTCTTTGAGCCCTGCACATATGGTTCTTGTTAATATTCATTTGTTAATTCTACTAAACTTACGATTTTTTAAGTAATGAGAGAGCTCTGTCCACTTGATAAAGTATAGCAAATGTAACCTGAGTTATGTGACTTCTTCATTGTTTCATCAGCAAATATATATTAACTTTCAAAGTTGTGCCAGATACTGCCTTGTGGTGTTTCCTTTGGATTCTACCCTGTGTTGATCTTTCTAAGGTCTTTTTATCATTAATATTGTACTCTGGTAATTTATATATAATACAGCACTCTCGAATCCTCATTATGAGGTTTTCATGGTAGAACTGAAAGGAATTACATCTAGTTCAATGGTGGCTCATAGCCACCAGTTAAGAGGCAGGACTGGTGTTCATTCTACCTTTTTATCATCCTTGAAGATGTTAGGAGATCAGATTGGTATAATCTTGTTGGAGAGCCTCCAGTTGATCTCTATGACTAAAAATAAAACTACTAAGAATACCTGATAGGGTACAGGTGTGGAAGAGCTATCATTGATGGTTTAGTAAAATGTGTGTGCAAATTCCCTAGAATAGCATCAGTTACAATCCCATAAACCCTTTTACAACTGAGAAAATTATGCTTACACAATTTATTTACAATATGGTATTTCATAACTAATTAATTGCATAAATTACTGAAAAGCATGAATTTTAGCAATTTAAATATAAATGCAAACTGACAAATGTGCAGAGGTTTAAATCCTTCTCAGTACTTTATTTACTAATACTGGTAAATGAGTCAAATTGACCTGGTTCACAGTGATATCACAATAATTCCACCTAGATTATCTGGTGGTGAATCAATTTTCTATAAAATTTTTAAATTGGAAAATTAGGTTTTTCCTTTTTTTAAGGTAATAGCCTTTAAAACTCAGGAAGAGATTGTAAAGCGCCTACCAATGGCATGTATAGCTGTTATCCATTCTTCACCAACAGAACCACTGAACTGAAACAAATTCTGTGTTCTTCTTCCCTTGAATACTGCCTGATGTGTCCAGAACTTAATAACAAGGTAGCTCACCATGAAACCTCATTAACTTACTTCATTTCCTGAAAAATAAAGTATAAGAAAAAAATGCCATCAATGATTAGCAGAGGGAGAGGGGAGCTATTGCAGGGTGTCACCTAGGAAGGTGCCTTATCTCCATTGTGCTATAGGCTACATGGGAGCTATTTAGCATTCGAAACCAGCATAGTGACATATGTTTTGCTCACCAAAATTGTCAAAGGAAAAGTTATTCTCATCTTTAAAAATGACATGGCTTTTCTTGGAAGGTATCCTGAGAAATTATACTTTATTCTCAAAATGAACAGATGTATAAAAAAGGTGACTTTACATAAAATACAAATAGTAATTATTGGGCTCAAAGAAGATTTCATAGTTAGAAGAAATGTCACCATAATGAACTATAAAGTGTGAGACCTACATTTAATCATCTTTAAAAAAGAAGGTAAATTGATTTTCTTTATGTTTTAGATATTTATGTGTATGGAAGCAGAGATTTAAATGGTGATTTGGGCTTCTGCTTCTAGACAAAATGGAGCAGCAAAACAGGATATATTCTGCCATCTGAAATAATAAAAAATCTAAACACAATATCTGAAACCCTGAGCTGTTGGGATTGCAGGCATGAGCCACTGCACTCAGTAGCTGGTTGATTAAGTTCTCCAAGATCAGGGTGTGTTGTTAGTTAAAATGGACACCTCCCTGTTCAATAAAGAGAATTACAACCTGAGTCACATCATTTTCAGTTTATGTAATGATCATAAAGTGTGTATATAGTACTACCAGTATTATAAAGATTCACATAAATGTGGTGTTGAAATACCACATCAGAAACAGATGTGTAGTCAATGTTTCCTCAAGTCTCAGACATGGAGAATACTTACCTGAATACAGATCCACAGAAGTGAGCTGTGCGGGATTTTGAGAAATTCTAACTGGGAAATTCAGCTATTTGGCTAAGGGAGGGAAGATGTCCCTTTCTCCCCAAACTGCTGCTTAAAGAGGCAGTGTGTGGCAGCATTGTGAAAGGCAGGCCCTGTCCAATTGCCCTTAGGCTGATTGCTGTGAGTGTGCTGGGTGGACAGTGGCCAAAGCCTCTTACGTACCCTTTTTTCATTATATTCAGAAACATACCAGGGAAGTGGTGCTAACTGTGCCTTTGTTTGCATATGAAGTAAGTGAAGCTTAGAAAATTTAGATCTGAGAGAAAAATAATTACATAGTACTAAGCTTGTACATTCTGGCTATATTTGCTCTGGCCACAAATGTTATGTCTTCCTGCTTCACCATCCAGAAAGATAACTCTGACTAAGACCTGTGGTCAAGAAAACYGTTCTATATAAGATCTATTATTTTCTTCCGTTGATGTTGATGTGTAGTACTAGAAGTTTGTTTCCAGATATACMAGCCCATTTTTCTAAATAGTGTAGTTTTAAGATTGAGTTACAGAGCTTAGCAACMTAACTAGTCTAAAGCCACATTGCTTCATATTTCTAGAAATTTCTGCTTTCTTTCCACATATAAATATGTTGTAATACTAAATAATCTACAGAAAAAAAAAACGTTCTGAAATACTCACTTGTAAATTAAATTATCTTAGTTAAATAATAGGAATTATTTCAAAGGCTTTTACACATGGAGAATACTTCTTGTAAAATAGTAATAGGAAAACTGGCTATGAACATAACACTGTCTTTATATTTTCTATATTATACTGAGGTTCACATATCCAATGAGATATGGCCTCTTTTTTATACAGCATCAATAAAAACACATGTGCTAACACCTTCCGTTTCATGCTAATAAAATATGAAACCATAGTCACAYATAGACTCATTGGGTGTGGAGTTTAACAAGGTCACCCTTCTTCTTTGAAAAGTTACACTTGATAATGACATCTGCATGACTTTCCCTGCCATGAATTGGATTTCAACTTTAGGTTAAATCTCTGAAGAATGAAACATAAGGTTCAGTTCCCAAATAAAGATTTTCTTTTAAAGAGAGAGAGAGAGAGAGAGAGAGAGAGAGAAATTTTTAATATTTATTTTTTAGTTTTCGGTGGACACAACATCTTTATTTTATTTGTATGTGGTGCTGAGGATCGAACCCAGTGCCCAGCTCATGCCACCCAGCATGCTACATCCCCAGCCCATAAATAATTTTTTTAAACATTGACCATAAATGAATTCTCACCAATTATGCAGATTCATTAGCACGGCTTTCAGAACAACTTCTAGAAATTGTCAAGACTGATAAAGAAACACAGTTTATAATAGAGCAGCTGACTTTTATTGTAAAAAAAAAAATGAAACAGGGTAGATCACATAGACTTTGGAGTGGTAGTTACTTGATATTATGATATTGGTAATATATTCTTTATAGGTTAGTGGGAGGAGTGCTTGGTTTGTACCTGAATAATCCTCTAATGGGATGTCTCACCACTGGTTCTGAAATATGAGCAGGAGGATGGGCTGTGGAGAGAACCCACACCCAGCAGCCAGAATATATAAAGAGTAAGTGCAGCAGGGAGCAACCATACTTCAGCAATTTGCTCCCTGAAATTTAATCAAGGCCTGACATCTATCTCCACCATGTCCAACAACAATTGCAGCTCTGAAAACTACAGCTCTCCCTCCCTTGAGAATTCAGATTGTGCTCCTGTCACCTCAGCCAGTGCTCTCTGCTCCACTGACGTGAGCTGTGGAGAAGCCCTCTGCTCTCCTGGTGGGAACCTGGGCAGCAACGCGCTCCAGGACAGATGCCAGGATCCCTGCAGTGAACACACAAGCTGCCAATCAACCAGCTGGGAGAGGGTTACCTGTAGCCCTTCTGGCTCTTCTCCAGTTGTTTCCAATGTGTCTGCATCTCAGCAAGGAACTAGCTGTCTTCCTATCACATCTTGTGGTTCCAGTCTCTGTCTTCCAGCATCCAGTAGACAACTTTCGAACTGCCATTTTCCAAGTTACCAGTCCTATGGCTACCAACCCCTGCACTACCCGACCTTCAGCCGACCACTGGGTTACCTTGGCTATGATCGTCAGGCATTGAGATATCTGACCTGTGGATGCCAACCTCTCAGCTGTATGTCTGACTGTTGCAGACCTATCAACTACACATACAGCAAATTTCAACCATACTCCTCTTCCTTGAGTGGCTGGAGGTACTCTTATTAAAAAGAAAATCATCCCAAGTAGCTGGAAACAACCTCTTTCTTAGCGGCTTTGAGAGATCACTCAACTTCATATCAATCAATCTTTTATTCTACAGGCTTATGTTACATCTCCTAATTTTATGCTAAATCTCCTTAATGAGACTTTCTTTTGATTTAGGAGTTGTATCACTTTTACATGACAAAAAAAAATCTTAGTGATTTTCAACCTGGATAGCCTTAATTTTCTTTAGTTTCTTTCTAATTAAATCACAGCTTGGCATAAACATCATGAGTATCATGTGTTATCATTTATGTGTACCTTATTTTATTGCTAGTTGTTTCCTTAGAATATGTTRACCACTTTGTGCAACTTTGATGATTTGGGGGGAGTTACCTATGAAGAATATTGAAAGTTTCTAGAAGTTAAAAAAAAAAGATTCATTGCAAGGAACCTATAAAAATAATAAATTACAATGACTAATATGAGATTGTCAGGGTTCATGCACTACATGGCATTAAAATCCTTCAGGTAATAGTAAATTTACCCTCAGCTGGATGCTTCTAATTATAGTAAATTATGTTGTAACAAGTAAGCCCACACATATAATAATGGTTAAAATTCCTTGTTCTTTTAATGTTGGGCAAAGAAAAGATAAGTAGGGAAGCCCTCAATGAGGTCATTTAGAAATAGTTGAGCAAGATTTGACTAAGATGTGGCGACCAAGATGGACCTCGAGGTTTCATTCCATTGCAGCTGAGCATGGTAGGTAGCCCAATAGCCTAACCCAGCCACCAACGAGGCTGTTGTATATAACACAAGATATATCCAGGAAGAAGAGACAAATAGAGAATTGGTAGAACCAGCAGTCACCCAAGTAGCAACTTATCTGAGATACTTATCTGAGATAAAGTTGATTAAAAAGAAGAAAATTCCCACCTATTGCTACATTGTAGCTAAGGTTCTGATTTGCAGCTGTACTTCATTTGTTTGACAGAGCTGACATTTAATGCTCTTGTTTTGGTTGACCAACACCACAGATTTGTTCACTTGAGGTATTTTTTATTTTAACACTTTTTAAAAATTTTTGGTACCAGGGATTGAATCCAGGGGCTCCTGACCAYTGAACCACATCCCCAGCCCTTTTTATTATTTTTTTTTATTTTGAGACAGGGTTTCATTAAGATGCTTAGAGCCTCCCTAAATTGCTGAAGCTGGCCTTGAACTTGAAGTCCTCCTGCCTCAACCTTGGGAGACACTGGAATTACAAGTGTGAGCCACCACATCTGACTTCAGTTGAGTTTTAAACTTCTGTAATAACTACAGGACTTCAGTCCTCTTTCCTAAAATTAGTAATATTAGGAAATTTACAAATTCCTGTTTTTCAGTTGCTCATTTCAACTTAAAACTGCACTATTTCATTAATATGACCATTTGCCAAATGAACATGATGTCCATTACCAGGCACTGTGGCTTGGTTTTGACCAAATCAGAAATAGATATTTATTGTTGTAATGAGAGTATGCAGAACAGCTAGTATATGGCAAACATTTCTCTCTCAGGAACACATTAACCCTAATCCCCACCCTCTTCTATGAGCATTTTCATTACATTTTGTAAAAAGGAAAGCTCAGTTCAGAAAAATGAAACAATTTACCCAAGAAAACATATATACACATCTCCATAGCTCCATAACCCCTTCTCTCAACCTCTCTCTCTCTCTCTCCCTCTGTGCATGTGTGTGTCTGTATGTATAGTTTCAGAGCATAGATGAAATTAAAATTCACCTCTGTTCTAGAAACCACATCTTGTTTTATGATCTTTTTTTGATTTTAAAATACTTCAGATTGCCTGTATGCCAGTCTTTCAAGGAAAATTATAGGTGAAAACCATCTGCCATTTATTTAACATTTATGGGGCCTGGCATTTACTAAATATTAGCCCTAATCTTTCTCATTAATCAAAAGCTTGTTACCATTACTCTGTCTTACTGATGAAGAAACAGGATCAGTGAAATAAATCCTCTTGCTCAAGATCTCATTGCTAGTAATTGAGTTTAAAATTTTGATTCAAAGCAGTGTTATTTATCTTACAATATGTACCTGAATGCTAAAATCACTCCATAGACAATGTTGGATACACCAGTGAATTTTGATTGTGTTGTTAGTCCTCAGAGATAAAAGAAAGGGAAAAAAGGCAAAATAGTAACAATATTGAGGTTGAAATTCAACATAATTGGACGGCTTGCTGTCTAAAGGAACAGTAAACATGCTTTAGTGGAGGAAATATGCCACAAACTGTGTCACCCACTCATTTTGACATGATTTCTTTCATTTATGAGCATCAGATATACTTATAGAAAATAAGTACAGAAGGCATATTTTTATTGTGAAATACTTTTCAATTTTTTGGACTGTCTATGTTGAAAATCTACAGTCATTATCTGGAACATTCMAACTGTTTTGCTCTGTCTATACATATGGTATCCAAAGCAACTATTCATGTCAAATGTTTTTTCAGTTTAATGGATATATAAAGTAAGTTAAAGAGATGTTCAAAAAGATGACTCTCTCCTATCATTGCAACATTTAAAAATATTTATTGGATAACTACCATGTGACCCATAATGGGCTATGTAGTGTGATAGAATCTTGAGCAGCAGAACTGATTATTGCTCCCATGAACTTGATAGCTGGTAACAATCATTAATCATTAAAGTAAATAACTTAGTATATTCAGTTTATTCAGATAGTGAAATATATGAAAACTATTTTGAAGAATGAATTTAAGAATTCCATTTTAGATATCAAATTTGAGTGGCTAATAAAGAAAGAAAATGTTGATGGAGAGATATCAAATAGGTAACTTGGAAAAAAAGTTCTTATCCCAGTATTTTTTTAAAAAGCTAATTTTATTCATCCATTATTCAAAATCGCTTATTGATGTCTTACTTTGTTCCAGGAATTGGCAATGAATGACATTGACATCCCCAATAATAAGTAGCTTCTGGTCTCAGTGAGGTAAAATCTTATATGATCAAGTTGCTTTAAGAAAAGAGGTTTGATATCATGTGTGAATGCATTAATTAGTTTGTGAATAAATTTCTACAGAGGAAAGAAAAAAGGAAAGAGCAATGTAGGAAGTAGAGCACTTGTCTTCCTGGTCGGCTCTGGTTGGTGCTATTTGCCTGCTATATGTCTTAGTTGTTTTAAATGTGATGATATACTGGATATTGCTATCAAATTATTGAGTGAGCAAATGAACATTGGTTGTTATGGGTCCGGTTAACTGATGTCTATGTGAAAGAAAAAGAAGTTCCAAATAACAATGTTGGGACATATATGTATACCCACAATAGAGTATATCTAAGATGAGTGAGGAATTGACAGTCAACAAATGTCTCTTTCTCTTTTCTGTACATATCCAAGACAATTACAGGCTATGAAATTGACTTCCATCTCTTAGATTAACATGGAGAAAATCAAATGGGATGATTAAGATATCATTTATGGATATCAGTAAAGAGATGCACAGGGCATCTCTGAGATAGTATTCTATGACCTGATATGAAAAAAGCAGAGTAATTTGCAGGAAGCACAATAAAGAAGGTGCTCTCATTTGGATCTTAAGTGTCTCTCAAAAGCAGTGATAAAAATTTAATCCTCAACTTGGTGTAATTTAAAGGTAGTGGATTCCTTGAGAGGTGGGTCCTCATGAAAGGTCTTTAGACCATGGGTGGTGTCCCCTTGAAGGAGTATGTAATAATCTGGCTCCTTCCTCTACCCCTCTCATCATTTGCTGGCCACAGAGTGAGTGGTTTTGCTCTGCCATGTGTTTCCTTCCTGCAATGACCATGATATTCTGCCTCACCACAGACCCAAAAGCAGTGGGATGAACTTACCAGGAACTGAAGCCTCCAAAACTGTGAGCCAAAATAAATCTTTCCTCTTTATAAGTTGATTAGCTCTGGTAGGTGTTAACGTGTTGGAAAATTAGTGGCCCACCAAGAGTAGCTTGCAGAAAGTCTTTGAGTTCAGAAAAGCAGGGATTTAGGAAATTCTTAACATTTAAATAAAACTGAACTGTGGGATTTCTGGAACAGGATAGAAAAGCATGTTGTTGCCAGAGCCTGGAGATCTTATGAAGCATATTCAAGAGTGTGGCCTTTATCATTCAGACTGCAGGAGTCATAGAAATATGTGTTTGCAAAAACAAAAACAACTGAATGAAAATATGGAAATATTACAAAAAATTCTAAATAAGATTTAGCATGTGAACCAACTACTATGTGAGAATGAAAACATCATGAACTCTCAGATGTGATCTTCGCTATTTTATGTTAATTTCATTGTTCCTGGCACCAATTATCTCTACCAAAGAATATAATTTTTCGGTAGTTTCTTGATCTCTGATAAGTGAACCAGGCAACCAAAGAAAGATATATTAGTCATAGAGAATTGATGGCCTACTGAGAGGGAAAGACATCATAATTGGAATTTTTAAAATTATAAATTGGAACACACATCAGATAGGTGTGTGTCTTGAGCATCCCCTGAATTTTCATCAATATGTGATACATTGATTGATGATACCAGGCTTCTGAAGTTATATGTCCTGTATGTAACTTGCCTGTTCATTAATTATGATTAATGATGGGACCATGTTTAATTTGATAACTTTAGTACCTATGGTATCCTATAAGATGCATTCCTTTAACAGTTAGAGAAACCAAATCTATTTTCACTAAGGTCTGAAAAGAAATATTTTAGTTTTCTTTTTGAAACCCATGTGCAGCAAGCCTGCATGCTGAGGAAGAGATTTTATATACCAGTTGGTTATCACTTGTTTTCAAATTTTACAAAGAAACAAGAAATGAAAAGGAACTTAAGCTAAAACATGAGGAATTCAAGTGAGGCACACACACACAACCTCCTCTAGTTGGGAGTTATCAAGCTGAGAAAAGGAATCTCCTTTGGAAGCACATAAGAGTTTGAAAGATTCTATTTATTTAGAGTACTTAAAGT